AGAACTCAGGTTTGAATATAAGCCTTTTCACATGTTCAGATTCTCTTCACATTTTGAACGTTAGTGAGCTGGAAACTTTTGATGGGTAGATGTAGAGCCTGAAAAATAAATTTGACTTTCAATAACACTTGAAACTGCCCAAACCAAACTTTAATTTTAAAAACTCTGTGGCTTACTATAAGAGAATTTGTGTTTTTTATTGTCTTTGATTGCATTGCTTACCCTCTGGCAGGCAAATTTCAGGGTACTTGATAGCTGTTTGTCTTATTCTTGCACAATATTTTTTTGGTATAAATTTAATACAGAATTCAACCACGCATGATGCTACCAATGAAATTAACTCAACTGAACTAAGTAATAATAGGATGATTAGACACTAGTGCATGTTTAAATTGTTTTTGATGTAGTTTTGTGGTATTGAGTGTATCTAATTTTTAGGAAATTGGGATCATAATATACAGCTTTTGAATCCATTTTTCCTGAGTCCCCTAAATAACAAAGGGAAGTGGAAAATTATAGCCAGTGGTGGCAGACTGTTTGTTCTGACCATTCTGGCTTTCAATCTGGTCTCAGGGTTGGTTTCCGTAGGATATTCCTGCTGTTAACAGCTCTTTCCCCTTTACCACTAGCTTCATCATTTGGATTCCTAGAATGTTATCTGTGTACGGGATTGGGCGGGAAATAAAAATGGGGAGAGGACAGCGCAGACATTTAGCTGCTTGGAGGCCTTGATGAATGAATGCTTAGTATGTTATTAGAAATTGCCATGTGGAGGAAGACAACTAATATGTGAAACAGATCAGTGGAATTGAGAAGATTCAGTTGAAAATCTTTGTTTTACAAATATTTTTTCTTTTTTTTATTGTTCCAGTTGCAGGTAATCACTTTTTGTTGTGTTTTCAGTCATGTGCTAAGCAATTTAATTTGGGCTTTATCTGTGACTTTCTTTTGCCAAGAAGTTCATTTAATAAACATCTTTCTGAGCAGATTAATTATGTTAGGATTATTATGTTTTTCTCTTAATTCTTGGAATGATTTCCCCAAATTCTCCACAAATTTTGAAATTCATTTGTAATTTCTATTTGTTAAGGATACCAGGTACAATTTCTTGAATTTGTTTCTGGCAACTAAGTTCTAGATTAGATTTACGTTGCTACTTTAAATTATAGGCACATTTTTGTTTGTTTGGCTTGTACCTTTCCTGAGGGAAAAAACCCATAATCCATTAACTTTTCAGGAAACTATAAATCAATAAATTTACTTCTAGAGATTGCAGGGTAGTAATTTTGAAGATCAGTCAGAATAAACTGTTGTACTGTTTTAAAGGATTTTTGCATCTTAAAAAAACAAATTTCTCCTAATTATGTGTAGTGGGTAGATTTTAGAAGATGTCTGCTGAGTTAGCAGTGTCTATTTCTATGCTAAAATCCTATTCTAAAGTTAATACTTCATCTACTTCAGGTAAAATGTTCTGAAATATAGATCGTAAAAGCAAAGCTTTGGATACAAAACCAAAGCCTGCCAACATTTATAGCATCACAAGAAGTAAAGCAAATGGATTTAGTTTATGTAGTATACGAAATAGTTGATAGTTTTACACTAATTTTATAATGTGACTGATCACATGCTCTTGAATTTTGTTTTAATGGCAAAATATCAGCCTTCATTTGCCACTTCCTGGAAGTGGTACTAAAATTACTGGTTATAGCCAGGCTCGCCTAAACATATTTAAAATAAAAATCCACTGTTAAGCTCTCCCTTACCAATATGATTTATTTGTGCTGTAATACAGTCTCTGTTGTGTTTTATTTTCAAATATGTATGTACCTATTCCCACATTATATCATGAATAATGTAATAACTTAGTCAACTTATGGGTCTTAAGAACTGTGTATTTTCTGTTCACTGTTCTTAGGTCTTTTGTGGTACAGCAAGGTGAACAAATAAGTCCCTGGTCTCAAGAAGTCTGGTAGGGGAGGCATGATAAGAGAATGAGGCACTACACAGTTGTAATAAAGGAGGCTCATATGTGTCTCAGTGGGTAGTGGGGTAAATAATCAAGGGAGGAAGCTGATTTGGGCTGAATCTTGAAAGAGATGGGCTAGATTTGTGGCCAGAACGATAATAGAAGGAAATTTCTGGTAGATGAATGAGTAATGTTATGGCAGCAGAAGTGTGCAGAAAACAAGAGGGACTTCCCGTGACATGCTATGGTAAGCGTAGGAGATGTGGGGCAAGTGAGATTATAAAGGCAGGTGTAATGGATACATATTTTGGTTTTTTTGGATGACTTGAATTACTTTAGTACAAATAGTTTTAATATACATTTTGTCAGATTATCTTAAATACACCTTAGATTTTTGTAATTCTTTTGTAGAATATATAATTCTATCTTAAAATTCAGATAATCTATTTCGTAAACTGAAGAATTACGTGATATGCTTTATAAATGCACTCCGCAATGACCAGGGCATGGCTAAATGAGTTGACTAGGAAAACAGCTAATGTAGAAACCAAAATATTTTCAAAATCCCTCTGTTTTGGGGCGCCTGGGTGGCTCAGTCGATTAAGTGTCTGACTCTTGGTTTCGAAGCTCAGGTCGTGACCTCAGGGTAGTGAGATGGAGTCCCACGGCGGGCTCCATGCTCAGCGGGGAGTCTGCTGGAGATTCTCTCCCTCTGTCCCTCCCCCTACTCAATCTCTCTTTCTCTGGAATAAATAAATTTTTTTTAAAAAGGTAATTCCTCAATTTTTCAGATTGTATCGTAATGTGCAAATGGGCATACCTGTTGACATATTGTTTTCCACTGATTTATTTTCCCTTCAAATCCTAGAATGAGAGATTTATTTAACTACTTAAATGTTTATTAAGTTACTGTTATGACCCTTTCCCTTAAGGAGGTATACTCTAGAAGGAAAAGCTAAATGAATCAATGAAGAAAATAAAAGAGAAAGGATAATCGGAGAAAACTGAGATTAAAGACCTGTATGAGTGTGATGAAAGTAAGACTCACTAATCACAGAAAAGTAAGAGAAGAGAATCAAGCAGAGGAGGAACAGAAAGACTAGCAACTCGAATGATCTAATTTAGAATTTTCCAAAGGTAGATTTGTGTGAGTTTGTGTGGTATGTGTGTATACACTCTAGTAGTGAAAACAAGTATCCATTTGGGTACAGGGCTCTATTAGTCTATTTATGTTCATTTTTAAATTTTAAAAACTAATTATTAATATTTAACATAGGGGTTCAAATTTGTACGCTTATTCAGTCCGATGTCAGAAAGTCCTGTCTAAGGTGGCGCATAAAGGGATTTGGAAGAGTGGAAGCCCCACCGAGCAGCAGTGGCCTTCCCAGTCCTTCACTCCATTTCTGGGACTCGCCATGTGTCTGAGCTTACTTTTATAAGTTTACTTGTGTTTGATCATAGATTTATGGCTTATATTATCTAGTTTCAATCAGACCCCACAGAACAGACTAATAATTTAAAGATTTCTACAAAAGAAAAAATGTGAATGTAAGAAACGTGACTAGGATTAGGAAACAAGATAATGGTAGAGTTGATACTTAAACCACTGGAATGAGCTTTTCACCTGCCACGATCTAATAATTTTAGAAGATGGTTAAAATTATAAGAGATTATCTAGAAGGATATTTGACATATAGGCACACATCTTTTTTTTTTTTTTACTTTTGTTTTCTGTGTTTTAAAATGTGATTCAGTAGCACATGTTAATTATTTATAAATAAGTAGAATGAATGTATGCCAGAACTTTTCTCTGATAAGGGTACTCTGCCAGTTTTTGGATAATAAGTAGCCCTATATAGCTTATAACTCAAAAATTCACGAAATCTTAATGATAGAACAATTGATGTTTGTAACAGATAACCCAGAGGTAAACAGAGCCTAGTGGAGATTTGTTTGGACTCAGTCATGATGTCTGTAGAACATTTCTTTGGTAGGTGTTAGAAAGGGTCTTCCAGCACCTTCACAAGTGTCTCGTGCCAAAACACCTTGGTGGTCACCCCAACGTCTTGAAGCACCAGTGACTGGTGGGATATTGTGTGTTGACGGAGCTATCTATAATTTCAGTGTGTGTGCCATGTTTAATAAATATTATTTTAATTCCTAGGTATTATAACTTGCCTACCTGGAAGTGCTACAGTAGCACTGAAGTTTAGTATGGCCATGGAGTGTGCAGTGAGCACAAATGAGAGTTCTAGTGAATTAAAGATAAGATCAGAGAGGAGCAAACTTCAAGGGATTGAATTCTTTCTCCAGTTATGCAGTGTATTTGCTTAGTTATCTTTTTGGTGTTTACTGACTTAATTCACCAGTGAGGTATAGGAAGTAAAGCTCCTGCTTTCTTTCTGTGGCATCCGCTTGCCCTCTCGCGTGAAATTGTGCTCGAGCCCAGCACCTGGGGGAATCTGCCGTGGTCAGCATTCCACCTGAGAGCCGCTGCCGTGACGGGGTGTGCGAAAAACACCTCGTATATTGACACACAAGGCTCACAGAAAATAACGTGCTGTGGCTTAGCAATTCAGATGACTGGGTAAACTCTGTAAAACGTAAACTCTGAAGAGATGGAACCTTGAAATCAATCATGCATTTGTCTTTATTAAACAGAATATGTAGAAGATCAGTTGATACCAGTCTTTATGGCTCATGAGCCTAGATTATGAACACACTATCCTGGGCCCTGTTGCAGTAGTATTTGCACAAGTTAAGTTGAATGGGGGTGAGTGTACACTTTGTGCAAATTCATCTCTTCCAGTCTGATTTTATTCATTGTGTCAGCCTTTTAGAGGAATGTTGTAAAGATTCAGTGCCTGCCACGTACTACTCAAAAGTTGCTGCTGTTGTTCATGATGACAGTGGTTGAGGGACAGAAGGATAATCACTGGTGATGGGGACCTTACAGACGTACATAGAATTTGAGACATGAAAATTGGGTATGGGAAATTTCTTAAGCTGAACTTGTTTTAGGGCACACTGAATATTTTACTTTCCTTTTTCTCAGCATCAGCAACTTGTGATTGGCGGTACCGGATATTCAATTGCACATCCCCACATCAATGCACTGCCAATGGTAAGAATCCCTCCCACTCCCAATGCTAGTGTTTTAATTGGTCTTTTGATTATTCTCTTATTTGTAAGCATCTATCAAGAATCTTTAAAGTTTCTCACAGTTTGACAGACTGCATCTATGCCCTGGAGTAAAGAAATGTTTTAAAAAATATGTGTAATGTAAGGCACTTAAAGTAATTTTTGATTATTTAATTAAAAAAGAAAAGGGTGAACCCATAGTTTGCAGATTTCCATTATCCATAGATTTTATAACCTCTTGGCTATGGTTGCCAGGATGAAAAGTATTATATAGCAATGATCTTGTATTTTAACAAGTGGGCTCTATTTTGTGAGTACAATTTTCTTGTTAAACTAAAGCTTAGGTTCAATAACAGCTCTTGTGTCTTTGTCAATCATCTTACTTAAAATAGTCTTTTTGCATATTGTATTTATCTTAATATTTATAGATAATGGACAATTAAATGGCTAAAATTTTACCTGCTTTTAGAGAGAGAATGATTTTCAGGAGAACCATTCTTACTATTTAAAAAGATCATTTTAGAAACCTTTCTCTGTGGAATAACAATCTGTGAACTATGTTATACAGCACAAAAGCCACTCTGTAGGAGTTGAGATTTGCTTTCATTTCTGCGTGTGTCTTGGATGACTTTTGGCAAAAACTCTTGTAAAATTAGATGATAAAATCGGACAGATTTCTAAAGTTTATTCTCACTGTAGGCTAAGTGATCTCATTACTGTTAACTAAAATCAGAATGATTCTCCCATACAAAAAATAATTCCTTACCTAAATGGTATTGGTACGTATTTTAGGGTTCAATAAATGTAGGAGAATGAATTTTTACTTTTTGGGTTTTTTAGAATTAATTACTTAACGATAATCTATTTCAAAATATTTTCTATAGTACGTTATTAAAATTTTTAATTAATCAAATTTTTATTTTATTTTATTTATTTATTTTTAAAGATATTATTTATTTATTTATTTGACAGAAGCAGGCTCTCGCTGAGCAGGGAGCCCGATGAGGGGCTTGATCCCAGGACCCTGGGATCATGACCTGAGCCGAAGGCAGCCGCTGAACCGACTGAGCCACCCAGGCGCCCCTCAAATTTTTATTTTAAACATTAAATCAAGGAGCTAAGAAACTGATAAAGGCTCATAGAATTTGGTGGGAAATAGTAGATGCATCAGTCTGAAATAAAAGCTACTAAAAATTAACTAGAAGCAGGATAGGTGGGTGAGATGAGTCACCTGTGAACATATTCCTAGGAAATGATTCATTTTAAAGATGGACTTGTCAGTATGTTGTTTAAGAGGAAGATTTCCTCTCCCTGTTCCTTCTCTCAGCAGTTAATGGGGAATGTTGAAGAAAATAAGAATTTTTTGTACGGCCTTAACCTAGCATGAAGGATCCATGGTTCTTCATTAATTTATGAGACACTTGCTGGGTTCTTTAAGGTGCTTGGGTGACTCTGCTGTTTTCTTTGGAACATTACAGTTTCTCATGCAAGAAACAGCTCTGTGGTAAATCAACTCCATCATTTGGATTACCTGCCCTTGGGCTTTATGTTTGAAGTTCACATTTGAAACCCATTGGTTTTCTTGATTGTTGGAGCCTTAATCTATGGCATGTCCCCCTTGAGAATCCATTGTGAAGGCCTCTTGGGTATCTGAGGTGCAGATGCTGTGCAAGTGGTTCTCTCTTCTAAGTGCTTCAGGTGAATTTTTCAGTGTGCCCCTCACAGAGACTATACATTGTGTTGTTTTTGGAACAGCTCTTAGACTGTATTTCAAATCAGATTATTTTCAACTCATTTGTCAGTTTCGTTAAGAAGTCCTGAAATCATTTTTAAGTCATGATCGCAGAAATTTATGTTCATTTATGTTCTAAATAAGTGTTAGTGTTAGAGATGAAGAAGGCCAAGATCCCAGCAAACTTGCTTGTGGTCTAGCTGAGGACACCACAGCCATTTGTACACATTTGCATGATGTGCTAATGCATTTATAGGTATTGGTTCACAGTGATAGTTTTCTCATGAACCTGAGAAATGCCCAAGTTTTTAGTGAAACCTGTGCTATGTAGTATCCTATATTTTTTCCCCCTGAAAATGCTATAAAGGAATGCTTTGTGGGAATGTACAACTTAACTCTACCACCCCCACCCTCAACTTTGTGATATAAGGATGAAGGATTCGTATTATTGTTTTTAGCTTACTCTTCACTTACCTAGGTACAAGTTATTTTAACTCTAATTGCACCTTACATCATTATGATTTACAGCTACTTTCCTAAATAAATGTTGCATACTCTTTTCTGTAAATATCTCATTGTATTAATAGAATCCATTGGCCAGCAAGTGTGTATTATTTTAACTTTTTATTGTGCACGTTTTCAAACGTACACTGAAGACAGAATAGCATAATGAACTCTCACCCAGCTGCAGTAGTCACCAATTTTGTCATCTTTAACCACGTTGTTCTATGTCTCCTTCCACCCCCTCCCCCCAGTCATTTTGGAGCCAATACATGTATCACATGATTTCATTCATAAATACTTTATTATTTTTTTTGAAGATTTTATTTATTTATTTGACAGAGAGAGACACAGCGAGAGAGGGAACACAAGCAGGGGGAGTGGGAGAGGGAGAAGCAGGCTT